AAACGGAACTATGTGCATTAAGACATAAGCCCTGAGATCAATAAGAATATATGCACAACAGGGCTCACGTCATGATGCACAAACTTAGTTCCGTTTGGCAGAAATACGTCCAATTGATAGACGAAAATGACGACGCGACGGTCAAATGGAGCGTTTCCAGCCTTTTAGGCAGAAACTTCACTGGAAAAAAGAACACATTCGATCTAGAGTCCAGACTCTTGAAAACTTTGACAAGAAAAAGGACTCTTGATTCAATCAGATTTAAGTTTAAATCAAAAGGAAATCCGCTCAAATTGAGAGGCTTGGTTCTTGATTTAAGCTTAAATCTGATTGAATCAAGAGTATTCTTTCTTGTCGATGTTATTAAGAGTCTGGACTCTAGACCCAATGTATTTTTTTTTTTTCCCAGTGTTGGTCCGTTTTGCCATAACTTGTATTTTAAGGGCATGAACGGGCTCTGAAAAGGAGCTCTATTTACCCGTTTTTCTTTGTCTATAGCTTTGTCTATCAATTTCAATAATCAGCCGGAGTTAACTGCACTTCTCGTTCCAGAATTTTATATATTGAGCTTTCTGAGTGGCATTGGGGTGGCATGATTGGGCGGGGGAAAAGCACTCGGCTCCTGTCCGATTCCTATGAAAGAGTGTGAACCCGCACTCGTTTAAAACGATTGTGCCTCGATTGATGAATCGTTATCGAATGACCTTGATCGATAACTCCCTATCTTAACAATGCTATATATCGATCAAGGTCATTCGATAACGATTCAACCATCGAGCCGCCGAATTGGAGCCGCGGGCCGCGAAAGGGGCGGAGCTTGCCGCAGTCGCCGCCGAAGCTCATTAATTTAGTGAGGAGATGAAACGTGCCTAGCGATATATCGATCGATTTGCTATTTAAACCTATTGATAGGATCGATTAAGAGGGTGTTCGCACCGAACATCGTAATAATCGATTCTTGAACGTAGCTTCAAATAGGAAAATATCGATAATTGACCATTCGCGCTTCGCCACCGAACGGGACAGGCCAGGCAAACGACTCAATTAAACGGATCGAATAAAACGTTTAATTGCGGGCATCCAACAGCCGGAAAACGCTGCAAGACGAACGGGGACCTTTAGGTTTCATTATTCGGATTGGATCGTTATCAGTGTCACTTCGCCTGCCGGAACCTGCCGTAGTAACGATATGCGCTTGCATTGGGCAAAAAAAATCGGGAAAATCGTGTGAAAGCGAATTATTGTTTCAGGCGTCGATTTGGGAAAATTCACTGGGTTTGATCAGGAATGAATATCATGGAATTTCCAGGATATTCTTTGGGAAGCGGGAAGTTTCTTTTCCTTCGATTCAAAGTTTAAAAGTTATTTTTATAATAGCTGATCCGTGCCTACTTTGCCTTAAAAAATCAGACAAAATATGAGGAAGATTAATTTTTTTTTCGAACTTTTAAAGAAAAAAACACGTTTTTTTCCAAGTTTAATTTGCCGAAAAATTACTAGGCGATAGAAAAAAACAAAGGTCAATATTAGCTTCAGCGGTGAAAAGTAAGTGGTATGTGAATAAAACAAATTGGACGTCGTTTCACAAATTAAGAACTACATTTTCTGGCTCATCTTTAAAAACACTTACGTGCATAGGAATATTAACGGTACGTTCATCGTTTCTAGACTGAGCCTGAAATTGTAGTTCCTAATTGACCACTAGACAAGGTACGAATTCCAGCACTCTGATATATGATCCGTAACCAAAATTTCACGTAGAGCACGATGCGCACAATGAAAATTATCGAAATTAACTCCTCACAACGATATTTAATGATTCTTGATGCGTGAATTCAAACCACCCGCTCATGAAAACTCAATGCTCTACGTGATTCACATCGCGCGCTAAACGTTATCATGACAGTCTCTGCGCGATGTAAAAATCTGGCAACCTCAATCTTGACGCTTTGGCTCAGCTATAGCAAATTGCCTATAGTTCGAACAACACATGGTGGGAAATGAATATTGCTCGATTAAGAAACTTGCTGAGACCGTTGTCGTGCGCGATTTGACTCACGTAGAGCTTTGAGTTTCTTGTGAGCGGGCAGTTCAAATTCCTCGTAACCAATGGGAAATGAAAAGGTTAATATCTTCGTTAGGAGTTGGTTTCAGTAATTTTCGTTGCGCGAATCGTGTTCTACGTGAAATTTTGGTTAAGAAACATGTACCGGAATGCTTAAATTTGTACCTTGTCTAGTGATCCATTGCAAAATGTAGTCCAATTAGTCTGAAAAGAAGGGTTACTTCTTTTCAGACGCAAAAAAATTGAAACAGTTCAACACGTTAATTAGTTAAATTATAATTTGTAGGGGCCATGTAATAGAGATATCACGCTGTAATGGATGCCATGTTCACTGATCCAAAATCAGGGAAGCTCAGCCATCAGAATCTAAAGGCATTTTTATGAGTTAGGCAGTGGTATCATTTCCTACCATGTCTACTGACCCACACTGAAATCACGAAAGCGTAGAGGTTCAAAAATCTCAACAATCATTCTCGTGAGTTTTGCATGATCCCGAGGAACATCTTGTCCCTGCTGTTCCTGATAAAATAGCGCTCATCGCGCGGATACCTTCAGCTTTCGCCATTGATGTCGTTGAATTACTGACATGAGAATGTGTCTCTCGTGAACGGTTGAGACGAATTTCGAGGAACCTAGCGCTGACAACGCGTTCCTCCACCCTTTGTATCATTAGCGGAATGCCCTGCAAAACGAAATAATTATTCTCAAATGTCGGAAATTCGTACTCTGACGTCAGCGTCGTTCATTCGTGGCGTCGAGCGATCCGAGCGTTTACGATTCACATTTTATAAGAGCGTATGTTCATTTCCGATTGAGCCGTTCTATCCGTATACCCGCATCCTTCCCTTGGCCCACCTGTCGATGGAGATACGCTCTTACGTCAGCGCAGTGACTACATCAGGTATGCCTTAAAGCCATGAAGACGGAGTACTGAAAATTAGAGTTAAAGCCAGGCCGATTCGAACAGTGCTCATCGTATAAGACTGAGGTATGATTTCATTAGTAAGCGCAGTGGCGTGGTTTGCTTTGTGATGTATCGATTGATCTACCATCTAAACCTATGGAAAAGGATCTATAAATAGGGTGTTCGCAACGATCACCTTAATAATCGATTATCTCCCGTGGCTTCAAATGGGGAAACATATAGATTAACGATCATTCACGCCTCACCACTGAGTGAGCGTTTGTCGATCGATGGCAACGCCGTATGAGCTGAACCACTCCCTAGATTTTAGAAGGAAGTGAGACCGGTAGCAAGATTTTCATTTTTGTTTGTACCAAAAATGTAACGAATTTAGTGGAAAATGAACATACGCTCTTATAAAATGTGAGTCGTAAGGAACCTAGACGCGCATTTAGTCGTTTGGGGGAAATCGAGTCGACAGGTTAAGCACTGTCCTTTTTTAAATGTCGATTAAGAGAAAGTTGATAACCGTCGAATGGTCACCCTGAGTTTTTCCTTAGCAAGTCAGTGTGATAGATATAAGGAAAACCGGACATTCACACCAGTTCAGTCCCACTGCCCACACCTTATTACACCGCGAGGCGCTATGGTGCATTATCATGTGGGCTATGCTGCTGCTGCGGCGAGAACGGTGTTAAAACGCCTTCAATTACGGGGCTACCACCCAGCACTACTCGGACGCTCGAATAGTTGCTCCGCGCTCCTAGGAGTTGCTGACGTTTCGTTCGTTTCGTTAATAGATGTCTCGGTTGATTTCGATGACGGGGGATTTAAAAATGTGAAGAAGAATATATTTTCATTCTGCCAAAAAGTGTGCAGAAAAAAATAAAATAGACTTACACCAACAAGTTCATTCGGTGTACACAATTCTTTTCCCGAAGACACTGAATTGCAAATGAGTAGTTTGAGGCCAGTTTGCGGTGCGGGCAACGTTGCCTTGTGGTGAAGAATTTGATGTTTGCCACTTTGAAGGCAGCAAATCTTAATTCCTGCTTCTTCTCTTTCATTTTTTTCCCGTTCAACCTTCACAACCTGTGTGTGTATGGTGAGAGGTAATGAAATCTAGGAAGCAGATTTCAGACTTTGGCAATGTGCACATGGGTATTTTGGAGCCAGTTTTCATAAGGAGCGACTTTTTTGATATGACCAAAGTTTGCAACTGACTTATTAAAAATTGGCAGCGTATTTTATGTTCTTACAGGAACAAGATATGTTTCGTTAAATTTACAATAACGGGTCCAGACTAAGGCTAAAGAGGGGACCATTTGGGGTAACCCTAGGTTTTGAAACCCATTCTGGAAAAACTTCAAGAATTAATCTCTTCTATTCGCAATTCTCAGAAGTTCAGCTCGTAAACTAACAATAAATGTTTCGGCCAAAATTAATTCTTAGAATTTAAGCTTTTCAACGAATTTTTAAGAACACATTTCGATCGAAGAAAAGTAGAAGGAAGCAATATAATTTTTTCCCTCATTTATTTGAGCAAATTTCGTTTATGACCATCGTAACTACTCCAAGAATACTTTCTGCCTTGTTTTCTCCATCCACATGAATCAAATTCAATTCAGAATGGTATTAAAAAACAAAATAATGTTCAATAATTCAGATTATCTAGGAGAATAGTGATTTTGGAACTCTCTGCCTTTTTGTGTAAAAGTTTAGGTGTAAAGCATTACTGGTTTAATTATTAAAAGTAACCAAAAAAAAAAAAATTACAAAAAAAATAAAAAAAAATAAAAAAATAAAAAAATAAATAGCCACGCCATTATATCGGCCCAGACGTAAAACGTTTCAAAGTTTCCTAAGACACTATGCTTCTTCCACTTCTTTCTCTTGAGCTGTTTTTCCTTTTTTCCTGATATCCTCGTCTCCTCTCTTTTTTCCATTCTAGGAGGGGGGCATGACCCCCTATCCTGGGCCCGCCATTGTGTGTTTTAACATGTTTCATGATGGGGATTTCTCTTGTTTCAGACATGGCAGGATGCTAGGGACGCGCCCTGTGATGGATTGGAAACATCTCGCAGGGTCATGGATTCAACTTTTGACGATCCTCTGTGCTCTCTCCCTAGCGCCGTCCTGGTGCGACTCCAGTTTGACGTGTAGCCCTGGCATCGATTATGGAGGTAAGTCTTTCAGTCCATCCTCTCGTTCTACTCTTGGATACTTAACAGCTTGACGCCAGAAAAACCTAAAAATTCTAGAAGTTTAGATCAGTTCGGAACAGGGACAGACGAACCCGAAGCAAAATTAAAAAATGAAAATACACGGAATGAAATTTCATTTTGCTTGAAAGTTAAACTCATTTTTTTTTATGAAATTTAAACAATTTAAGGTTATAAGTTCTTGAGGGGCCCTCCATCCTCCAACCCTCTATTCGGCGGGCTCTACACCTCGGAAAATTTGGATCCAGTATAACTTTGATCAGTAAAACTCTCAGGAATCGCCATAGAAATCGAAAAAATGGGGCTGTTATACACAAAAGACCCAGCTGTATTCTGCCGAGAAACGCAAAAACGCCATTTTACATTTTTTGGAAATAATGTATCATAGCAGAAAAACTTGTGTTTTTACAGAATTCTTTCGCAAATGCTGTCAAGAATTAACCTGAAAATTTGAATTTGAGGTGCATGAGTAAAACAGTTTTTATTTTATCAAGTGTTAAGTTCCAAAAAACGAGGGAAAATCTTGATGGATTTACGGCGTTCTTGCTTAAGACGAATGTTCGCGAAACTTTACCGAAAAAGGTTCAAAATCAAATGTTGCGGTAAAAAGGTATCATTTTAAGACTCCGCTGCAAAATTCCCCGACTTTTCCCCAACTTTTCAGGGCTGAACAGAATCCCCGGACTTTTCCACATCTCCATGATTTTCCAAGAACTTGTCACCCTGAAGAAATAACCATACGGGCGACAATAGTTGCGACCTTAGCTTTCTTCGAGCGTCTTGCGATCTTCTCATACATTCATGAAGCTTGATCATGATTTATTGAACGGGAACGTAATTCAGTAGTGAGCTGCTAAGGAAAAACGGCGTATGAACCTTCAGGCGTTGCCAAATTTCCTTTGATTAAACACGAATTTCTTGGTAAACTTATGAATATTTCTCTTCCAATTTTTCAGAGAATATTCTTTGTATTTTGATCTGAAGTCCCTGAAAATTTCAAGGAAAAAAATTCATAATTTTCCTCATAAATAAACATTTTATCGAAGGTAATTTGGCAACTCTGGAATGTTCATACGGCGTTGTTCCTTAACACAACAGAGTATAAGCTGCCTCAAATCTACGTCGCTTGACCGGAGTTCAAGGACTCTATTCCGTCGACCGGCGTTGTTGAAATTTTAATCAATTCAAAAATCAAACGCGTAAAAAATCTTACGAGACGTCCGAACACTGACCGCGGGAGCCATCGCACATCATACCTTGGCGCTCGAATCGTATATTTATGATTTCTTCAGGGATCCTTGATTAATAAAGTGATCCGCGCCGCACAGTGGATCGAGTCGATAGGATAGGTCGGACAAAATTCGGAAACTTTAAACGCTTATAACTCCGTTTATACAGAACTTGGAGGCTCTAAAAGTGATTCCATTGGTTTCCTCGTGAAATTTTCTTTAAGGATCACTTCTTAAAATTTAAAATGTGACGAAATAAACATCGAAATTTGTAGTTTTAGTCAGAAATTTCATGTCCGACCTCTTCGATTGACTAGATCCACTGTGCGCCGGGTTCTCAGTCGAGTTGACCTGGTGTGTGATATATCGCATCAAGTAAGTCGAAAATCTCTAAGATTTTGACTTTAGAGTCCAAAAAAGGACGACAGCCCCTGCGCCTGAGCCTAAAGAATCATTCTCATCTGAGACAATTGCAAAATTCAGAGAAATGAAAGCAGGATTCTTCTTTGAAAAAAGCGTTGCATTTGATTCAGAAGTCAATGTTGCTGCATCTTATGCAACGTTTCTTTCTCCGTGAAGAATTCTGCCTCTTTATTTTTCTGAACTATGCAATTTTTTTGGTCGAGAATGTTTCTTTGGGTTCCTACGTAGGAGCTATACCGTCCTTTTTTTGGCTAAATATTCAAAATCTGCCCAGATTTGTCACTTACTCCCTGCGATGTGTCGCACGTCAGTTTAATTGCACGCCAAGAACCCAGGACGAAACTTATCATTCTTTGAGCATCATCAACGCTTATCAATGCCTTTGGTTTAGTTTTGAATCATGTCTTGATTTATTTTTACTGTGAATGAACTGACACAAAATCTTGGCTGATCCAATTTTCAAGATATTGCATTTTGAAATTTTGATAGTAAATGCAAAATTTCTACTGATTTCGATCCGGTCCTTTATTCATTTGTACATTGAATCCGGTGTGAATCGTTTCACATCGATCGATTCACTTTCTTATTTTTCGTTCGATTCATGTTGACTGAATACCCTCCCTTCGTTGCGTGCAGACTCTTCGATGCTCTTCTTTTTAACTGAACAATTCACCTTCTGCTGCGTCTACAGCAATTGTTGTTACGAATATGTTGTGCGTGCTGATTTCAGCTCATTACATACTTGACTCCGTGAAGGCGTCTTATGTGCGAAAGCAATTCGCCTTCAATTGCGTCTGCGGCAATTGTTGTAATGAATATGTTGTGCGTGCTGATTTTAGATCATTACATACTTGACTCCGTGAAGGCGTTTTATGTGCGAAAGCAATTCGCCTTCAATTGCGTCTGCGGCAATTGTTATTACGAATATGTTGTGCGTGTTGATGTCAGTTCATTACATACTTGACTCCGTGAAGGCGTCTTATGTGCGAAAGCAATTCGCCTTCAATTGCGTCTGCGGCAATTGTTGTTATGAATATGTTGCGCGTGCTGATTGTAGATCATTACATACTCGACTCTCTGAAGGCGTTTTATGTGCGCAAGTAGCGCTATCTGTTGGAAAACGAACGAAGTAGAGATTGAGCGATCACTTCTATTGTTCTGCAATAGGGTGCTCTAAATTCGCCCATAAAGCGCCTTCAGATATTCTAATATGTAATGAGTGAAGATCAGCACGAACAACATATTCGCAACAACAATTGCAGCGGACGTAGCTAAAGGCGAATTTTTTTTTATCTAGTATCAGATATTCTCGAAAAACTTTTAACGATAAACTAAATTTAAATGCAGAATAAAATATACCGCGCTACAAATTCTCAGTCTTGGCGGAAAGTTTAGCCTTAACTTCCCATCAAGACTGAAAAAGCGCTGGTAGGACAATGGTCTTGAAGCAAAAAAAAAAAAAAAATAATAGGAAAGTGTAGCCTTAACTTCCCGCCAAGACTGAAAAAGAAAAAAAAAATGCACCCTGAAACGGTTTGCAGGGAGTGAATCTATTGTACGTGTAGCATTCCCAGTGCTTCGTGACCTACCCATAGATTTAGGAGACCCATTTTTGAAGTGCAAAAAGAAATAAATAAATGAATAAATAAATGAGGGGCTTGGATGACAAGGTGCATAAGTGCAGTTTTTGAAAAAATTGAGTTATTATGATTTCAATTAAATCTAGTCCTAATGCGTATTCTGTGAAAAATTTTCTCCCAAATCCCAATTTTTAAGCATCAAAATGTCTGTTTGAACTTTCTTTCCGTCTTAAGGATCCATGTATATGTATTTTCAAAACCTCAGACACGAATTTCTCGAAGTAACAAAAACTGCACTTATGGGCCCTGTCCTCCAAGCCTTTCACGTGTATAGTTTGGGAAGTGTGATTTTGATCGTGGATTTTTTGTGTTTTTCAGTGACGATCCCTCGCGGGGACATCATCCTGGAGGAAGGGCAGGAGCTGCGGATCCGGTGCGAGCTGAACGTGAACCACGTGGAGGTGCAGGACAAGAACGCCTCGTCGCTCTACTTCGTGCGCAACGAGACGGAGGTGCCCGGCGAGCTGGTGCGCATCCTCAACGAGTCGGCCATCGAGCTCCTGGACCCGGCCCCCAAGCCCTCCGACAGCATCTACTCCTGCCGCTTCCACCACGAGGACCGCGCTCAGTTCCCCCAGGGCGTCGGCATCTGCTTGAACAGGGTCTCCGTCGGATGTAAGTACCCCCCACCACCCACCCCCCTCACCTCTCAAGACCCATCGGCTCAGAGAGAATTCATGAACGTTTGAACATGGACACTGGAACAACAACCTACAACCTAACAGGGATACTTCACGCATTGCGCGGCGACGCACTGGCGCCTACAAACCTAACAGGGATACTTCACGCATTGCGCAATGCGTGAAGTATCCCTGTTAGGTTTGTAGGCACCAATGCGTCGCCGCTCCGCTTTGTGTTAGGCTCTAATATTAGTGTATTTTCCGAAGGAAATACACTATTGCATTCTCCCATGATGTCGGACCCAGACCCGAGACCTTGTGAAGAGCATCGATCACGGGTCGTAGATCACGAAAATATATGCCATTCAAATTCATGTGTATATATATATGTATGTATATATGTATGTATGTATGTATGTATGCATGTATGTATGTATGTATGTATGTATGTATGTATTTCCGCCTTTTGAAGATTTTTCGATTTTTGAGTGGTTATATCTTTCTTACGTTGAAAGATATTTTGACCAATTTTTTTGCATTTTGTAGAGACTCATTAGGACTACTATTCTGCGAAAAAAAATTGAAATTTGAGGCAATAGATTTTGAGGGGTGGGGCTCGAAAGTGGGGGGAGGTGAAATCTTGTCCACTCGATAACTCGAGCGAAAATGAATATTTTGAGCTGAAATTTTTATAGGTGGTAGTTCTCCCCTAGGACTGGTTTGGTATTGAATTTGAGCTAAATCGGCCGAGCCGTTTAAGAATGGCGAGCTTTGAAAGTTTTAGGCGAGGGGTGCGCGGCATGAGGGGAGCCGACCGGAGCAGGGCCGCACAGTGGGTCAGGGGAGAAAGTTTTTGGACAAGCTGATCGTCGCACAGTGGGTCAGGGGAGAGAAGTTTTTGGACAAACTTTTCATCGCACAGTGGGTCAGGGGAAGGAAGATTCTGGACAAATTGTTCGTCGCACAGTGGGTCAGGTTAAATGATCTGTTCTTGAACAAAATCTCACCATTTAACCGTCACAACCTTTCGCAGCGCGTTCGCTGGCAACGTACTGTGCTGCTCTTATGCCTCAAGAAATTAATTCATTCCCTTACAGATTGATCCCTCCCCCCCCTTCGGAAAATACACTCTTCCCGCGGTGGACGCGCGGGTCGCTTAAGAAGACAGAACAACTGGAATGGACACTCAAACTAAAAAGCGCGCGCGAAGCGCGCGTCCTGGGGGGACCTGGGGGGGGCGAAGCCCCCCCAAAAAACCGGCGCGGAGCGAAGCGGAGCGCCGGTTTTTATAGCTTCGTATAGCCCGGCTGTATGATTTGCTCCGCTTTCTACCGCCAGCTATATGATTTTCAATAGCCTTCTTTAGTCGGCTGTAAGAACTCCTACGGTATTTTGAAACGCAGCTCGTATCGCCAATTTTTACCAGGGCGATGTGGCTCAGTGATTTTTTATGTACCAAGTTGAATAATGATTGGGGTTCAAAGGGGACAATTGCGAAAAAAGCGTTATGTTTCCGCCGGTGGCCTTGATTTGTGGTGTTTTTCTGGCTGGAAATGCTAATTTTTGTGGTTATGAAGGTAAATTTAGTTGGGAAAATTATTGAAAAGTCCTGCAAAGACACAGCACAGTTTCTTCGGTCTGCATTGGTGCAGGAGTACGGCCCACCGAGTTACGGAAACGTAGGACCAACGAATTGCGGTCCTACGTTTTAAGACACAATACCGGTAATTTTCGGTTCTGCGTTATTATTTCCACTCTACTCAATGTTCCGTAAGTCCGAACTTAACCCATTTTGGGAGCATGTTGGGTCCTGTACCTTTAATGTTATAGGTCCTCTGGATACCATGTAGCTCTGGATGAACGTTCACTTGAAGATCCGCAGAGGTAACGTGGGACCGTACCATAGCGGTTATGCGCTCCATGAAACAAAGCCGCTGGACTGCGGTTAAACGTTACCTTTTCGGATCTTCGTGTCAACACCCATCCAAAGCTACCCGGCACCTGGAAAACCTTTAACGTTGAAGGTGCTGCACCACATGGTTATGATCAACCGGAATCAGAAACGCATGACAGCATTGATATCAAGAAACTTTACCATGTTTATTTCGCTCTTTTAAAAATCATCAACGAAGTTGAGTTTTTATCGCTATTTTCTCTCTTTTTCAGTTCGTCCTGGAAAATATCTTGTCACAAATATTTCCTGCATATCCTACAATTGGCAAAACCTAACATGCTCATGGACACCACCGCAGAATTTCATCAAAACAGAATACCAAATAGTTCTTTACGAAGTCGGAAAAAGGTTTGAAATGAATTTGTTTATACCTGCCTCTTTATGCTCCATAGACAGTGAATTTTAATGGTCAAACTAGCCTGCACAATCCGTGCGTCTCAATTTTTGGTAGTTATCATACATTTTTAGTCATATTGTACTGTTGTTAAAGAAAATAAATGAGCTTGAAGGTGTACATTTTAGTGTATAATCATTAGCAAGTTTTCACTGAGGAAGAATTGGTCTGAGTAAAATTTTAAGAATCTATAATCCTATCGTGAAATTTCTCTTTTCTACCAAAAGCAAATGTCGGAATAGGTAGATCAGGAATTTTAATGTGGTGCACGGTGCTGTCATAGGATTTAATTTTATTCCTTTTCTAAGGTTTGCTATTAATCATTTTATATCTTGCTCCTTACCAGGAATCCTTACTACAAATGCCCCGAAACCACAAGAAGAGAAAACAGTTGTACCTGGAGCCATTCCACCGAACCAATGTACAGGCAGGCCATCGAAAACTACAATATAACCATAACAGGAATCAATTCTTTTGGGAAACACACTCAATATCTCGTTTTCAACAGCTATGAACGAGGTGAGTAAAGTTTCTTTTTCGATTTCTTGTGAATACAAAGCCACTGCAAAAAAAAGTTGTTGCAAATTCCGTTGTGCAGTCACCAGAAGTTTGAGCCCTTCATTGATGCCAGAAACCGGAAAATTTGTATTTCTTCTTGTGATGTTGCAAACCTTTTCTTATATTTGATTTTTTCCCTAAGGGCAATGAACCAACAGTTTTTCTTGACATTTCCTCACAGAAACAGGAAAAAATAAATGAATAAAAAATACAAATATTCACAGAAAATTACAAAGAAATATTCTGTTTAGTTTTCATTAGAAAAAGTATAATCAAACATAATCGGAGATTTAAAATACTGCAATGGAGATGTGGAGCCACCTTTATTGCCATCATTACGTAAGGATAAATAGGAAGCGGCTCGAGGGCTGCCTGTAAGATACATAACAGGGTGTTCAGGGTTGTATTGTGTAAAGCTAGAATGGGGACGTCGAGTCGACTTTTTCATAATCTAAGAATAAAATTCAATATAAGGTAGCAGCTTTTAATCCGCAATTCATCACGGAACTCTAAATTAAGAAAGATAGATTGAAAAACAAAGCGTAAGGTAATTCTTTTAGGGGGTGAAGACCTGCGTCACGGGTGCGATACTAGGCGGAGATGATACTAAAATTTGATTTTCAGCGTTACATATTTTATGAAAGTATTTTTATGGCCTCTAAAGATCTGAAAGTAGGAAGCCATTAAGTGTGGTTCATAAAATTTTTGTTGCTGTCACCAATTTTACAAGCTTATAATAACAAATTCTTGTCTTTTTTCCCTGATTTTTTTCAGTCCTTCCTGATAAACCGAAACTTAGTGTTTTAAACAAAACTTCAAATAGCATTCTACTGCACTGGCAGGTACTATTCCCTCTCGAAACATTCCCTCCAGGGTTGATTCAAAAAGTGGAGTATCAACCTCGATGGGAATCACGTGACCCATGGCATGTAAGTAAACAAAATGTCTCAGTTTTTCAAATTCTACCATTTATACCACTTGAAATATTCGAATCGGCTTTTTTTTTTTTTTTTTTTTTACTAATTAAGTCTTGTGCTTTGTAATACTGTTTTTTTCCTCTTTTTTTTTGTTTTTTAGTAAATGTGCAAGTCTCAAATCCTGTTGGAATGTTTTATTAGGTACGATTATTATCTTTCAGTATTACAATTAAAAGGCTCCGATACAAAAACAGTGAAAAGAATGTACTAGAGGTCTTAAAGGTATTGATTGTTCGTTATCAAACTAATATCTATCGATGATTTAACTGAGTGAGAACTTAATACGACTCTTGGTGGATTGGTGGTTGTCCGTTTGTTTGCTTTTCACAGTTTCCTGGTTCTGAGCTTTCTCAAACATTCTTTGGAATTCATTTATATTGTCTCATGTACTCTCTTTTGCCCTACTTTCAAAGAAATCCTCCAGTTTCTGTTCAGTTTTGAAGTTTTAATTCCTCGAATTACTGGCTTTTATAAAACTTGGCTTCTCTTGTGCATCTCTTAATTTTTAACTTACTTTGTTTCAGACGGCTGACACAAGCTCCTTAGGTTTGAGAAATGTTAACTATACGTTTCATCTCACGAACTTAAAGTATGCCAACACACACTACGATATAAGGGTTTTCATGAAATCTGCCAAAGTGGAAGGTGATTCTCTGTGGTCCGAGCCAGCTAGCGTCACTGTTAAAACCCTGCCTGATGGTTAGTTTTCAAAAATATGTGCGAAAATAATGTTCCGCTTTTTACAATGGTTTTTTCATTACATATGCTTATCTTTTTCAGTCACTTGGTAAGACCAAAAGGTGATCTCAGAAGCATCAAAATTTTTTTGGGTATCATTGATGCTTAGTACCTCCTTAATCCTTTCAGTACTATGAATGCAGTATCTGTACTCAGCAAAATTGAATCCTTTCTGTAGTATTTTCACCATTACTCCACAATCTGCATTTAGAAGTATTCCCATTTGTATATCTGTCTGTCGAGGATGATCTGAACTACAACTTTAGCCATATTTGACAGAGTGCGCTTTGATTTCTTTGCTTTCCATCGTCGGTCGTGCGCATGCAGAATCTAGCCTGTCAATGATAAGGTTTAAAATCTATTGGAGCTGTTCTTTAGATTTTGTATCATGAACTTATTAATCTTTTCGGTTTAGGTATTTATGATTCCTCAAGTCTGCCATTTCTTGACTATTATTTTGAATACTAATTGCTTTGTGTTTTTCTTTTAGTTCCATCCTCACCACCCAAAACAGATGTTGGCACTTTTGAAATTGTTCCTCGTGATCATCCGCACCATGATAGGGATGTCTATGTGTACTGGCAGCAAATTCCTGATTACAGTAAAAACGGTGATGATTTTGAGTACAAAGTAATTGAAGTGAAAGAAGCGGGAATCCCAAGGTAATTTCGGATGAATTATAAATTAATTTATTTTGTAGCTGAGGTCTGATCATTAGCTCATAAAATAATACTATCGAAATATGTAAATATACTATCGATCAAGTAAACTTGTTATGTCACCGTGTAAATCTTATCAGGTTCATTTACAACCAAAAGCTGTGATCCCCAATAAATTCTATTAATCCCACATGAAGCGCTCAGTGGGTTTGGCATATTCAAAGATTAATTTGCTCCTCTCAGCTGAAAATGCTATAACTTAACTCGTTTTTGTGGTATATCAATGGCTAAAGTCGAATAATGTGTATCTTAATTGCAACATTTTGAAAAATTTGATTACGTTTTAACGTTTTAATCCTCAGAAGAAAACTAGCCAGAATATCGCTATGGAATTTCCCATGAGTATTTTTGAAAGAAAGAAGAATATTCTCCAAAATTTGAAGAAATCATGATTTTTTGTATTCGTTTAAAAAAGTAAAACACGCTTGAAGTTATTGTCCCAATTTGCATTTTATTCTCATCCATATCCGTTTTTTTCCCTCAGAAATATACTGCCAACGTATGTGACCAAAGCCTTTGCCAAGTTTGATAGGATCAGCAACAATGCTCATGAATTCACAATCATCGCCTCCAACAGGAAAGGACGTTCTGTCAATAGCTCCAAAGTCTTTGTTCCCAACAAATTATTCAGTAAGTATCCCAAGTTTTAAGGACTTATTCTGTTGTAGATTCACTAAATAACTACAAAGCAAAGACTGCTGTAGCTGGTTTTTTATTTGATTTAGCCTATTACTATGAAGGGTTGCTTACGCAAGACGAACATGAGTGATTCTACATTGCTCCTCTTTCTATAGTAGGCAAAGAAATGAAAGCATCCCAATCATAAATCTATAATCAGGTATATTGACATTGTTCAAATTCTTTATCATTGAGTAGAAACTTAATTTTTTTGAAAACAGGAGTTGGACCTGAGAGGGAATACAATTTAATGTAACGATCAAATTTCTTACTCAGATGAGGGGTCTCAGGTATTTTAGGAGAACCATTCTCCGATGGAATTTTTTTTGTTTTCTGCTTGTTCTAATCTTCTTTAACTTTAATTTTAGTGCCTTCAGAACCTGTATCATTTACCAAGGTCGCATATGATCAAGGCATCTACGAGTTGTCATGGAAAGCATCTAACAGACATCACTTGGTGGACAACTACACAATCTTTTGGTGCGATAATGAAAGAGAGAGACCTTACCAGTGCGAGGTTAGTCTTCTTTCAGCAATTACATGTATTAAATATTCATGTCATAAGAAATTACTCGTCTGGATTTAGATTTTCATTCATCAACTTGAAATCAGTCGCTCAATGTAATGTATCTGCCTATCGCCATACCAAGAATTTTTTTTTTTTTTGGCTTCGAAAGAAAGAGAATTTTGAAACTTGTATTTTCTTTATTTTTGAGCAGATTGAAGGTTTTTTCCCCCTCCTAATTCAATGTTTAAATTATGTCTCCGTTCCTCTTTTCAGGGAATTCTACAATGGATTTTTGTGGATCAGAATACATTCATCAAAAATGTCACAGTGCCTGACATCACGAAAAATTACCAGTTTGCCATTTCTGCAAATTCTAAAGATGGGAGCAGTGGTATGGTGTGGGCTAAATGTACAATCATACATAATAAAGGTAAGGATTGATTTTTTACATGAGACTCGTTGTTCATCTTAGCGAACTGCCTCACAGGTTGCCCAGCGGTCCAATTGGACTGTTGTTGAAACTTGACTGTTTGGCAACCCGCTGGTCGCCAAGAGTAAGTAGTGGTAATATCTTTTCTGGTAACTAATGCTTTTCACAATTATGCAACTCTGTGACAGCTACTAGGTAAAAATTATTCTTGAAGAAATTTTTTAAAGCATTGGCTTCAACTTGATTTTAGTTTAATAAAATACTGTAGTTTTATAAAAGTATTATTCAGTATTATTCATTTATAAAAGTAATAATTTCATGTTGTGATCACTTGAGTTATTTAATGATTGTCTGAACTTATGTTTTTCCTCTAGTTATCGGCAAAATGAATGATGTCTGGGTACAAAAAGTCGGCTCAACCTCCATAGAATTAGGTTGGAAATTAGATTGTTCTGGCAGAATTGGTGTTTTGCAAGGGTTCCGCATTTTCTATTGTCCCATCATCAACTTGCAGAATCCAGAATGCACAGGTACTTACACTAAAATTTGTCAAACTTAATTTTGTTCCAGCACTATTTGCTTGTTAGCTGCATCAAAAGCAATTACCTTTAAAGTTTCTTCTTCCCAATGAAAACTAAGCACCCCCATCATGATGAGCTGTAATTGCGGTCAATGCATTATTGCCATTTCATGGATAGCAATTTATTGCAATATTGTTAAAAGCAAAAATTGCTGTACATTGCGATTTTCTACAACATTATTGCGACTTTATTGATGCTAATTTTTGTTGAACTTACCGGTGAAAAATTCGGAAGAAATCGAGACGAAGTACTCATTTAATACCAATTGGAAGGTAGTTTTATTGTCAGGAAAAAATTGAATGAAATCTCTCAAATTTTGATGACCCAAGCGATTTTATCTTCGTAAAGTAACAAAAAAATGTGCAACTTGATTTCCACAAATTGTAAGGTTTCAATTGAAATATACTTCTTGAACTCTACTTTTTCTGGCTCATTGTAGAAACAATGTTAGTGCCATCAGTTTCCCGAAGCGGATAGGTGATTTTTTGCATGCAGATATATATTCCTTATTGCCAAATGTAGTCCATATGTTAACAAATTATTTATTTGCTCACCCTTGCATTTGAAAAACATGTGTAACCCTCGATTAAATACTCTTAATGTTTGAAAAAATTGGTAACCCTGCATTTAGTTAAATGTTCTCTCTAGGAGCATACAAGTAGTGAATTTTTAGTGCGAAGTGAATCATTTCATTTGTCTTTTTTCCAATCTTAAATTTTTTAATTCCACACTATGTGCATGTGTGTAAATGTTGCTTTATAATACAAGCTGCTTCTGTAATGTTAAGTCCAAGATGATACGTTCATTCCTAGCATTTTTTGATGTAACTCCATAACATTTGCAAAAAATGTTTCTAAATGTTTTCTCTTTTTTCAGAACCGCAACAAAATACAACTGTAGGAGATCAGTCATCAGCAACTATCCACAATTTAAGACCATATAGAACATACAGAATATCTGTGGCAGTTCTCACAATTAGTGAAACTGGTGCGCTGAGTGATCCGATCTATGAAACCACTCTCGAAGCAGGTAACATTCAAATCTACTCGTCATCATTGCTTCTTAATACGCTTAATTTTGGAAGGTGAATCTAAATAAGAGCTCAGAAGAAATAAAATTGTCATTATTTTTTTTTAATACGTTCGAGAATTATTTATTTTGCCAACATGGCTATCAATGTGTAAGTAGAATGAAAATATAGCTTGTGAGTACTTCAGCATATCATTACCAGACTTTGTCTTTATCCGAACAAGTGTCCTGTTTCTTCCCATTGAGATGCAGAATTTCATGAAACTTTATTTAATCAAATTTCACTATGAACTTTAATGAAATATTTAAACAGCAATTGACTCAGTACGCCATGAAACGTGGAAACAGTAAACTTTCAATTTTGAAGTTCCAAAAAAGAAATGTTACCAGTCAAATTTTGAAGTTTCTTATCAAATTTTAGGATAATTATTGCAGGTTGCATACGCAGCTCCTGAAAAATTGTGGAAAATGGATGTTTCACTTTTCAGCAAAAAAAAATCTCACTCCGTGAAATTATATCTTGTATCTCTGTTCTTCCATGATTATAACTGGGATCATGTCGTTGCTACATAATTATATTTGTCTCATTTTTCAGCTCCTGAGAAGCCTCCGATGAACTTGCGACTAGGGACAGTCACAAATACAACAGCACACATATCTTGGGACCCTCCTCCTCCTGAATCGCACAATGGGGTCATTAGCTATTATGAAATTAATTATAGTTCCTTAACGTACAACACGTCTTTGAATGAAACTGAGGCACTCCTCACCAACTTAAAAAGTCATAAAGTTTATTCTGTGACTGTTAGTGCTTGTACCAAATCTTGCTCAAAACCATCCGCCAGCTTGAAGTTCAAAACAAATATTGGAAGTAAGTCAATATTTTTGTATGTTTATCTTCTTTTACATTGTTTATTTCTTTTTTTAAACCATGAGACTGGTCAGAATATTTTTTCACACTTATAATATATGAAGAGAGGGAGGAAACATACTAATGATGGCCAGCCGGTTAACGACTGAAACATGTCCCGATACAAAGTTTTATTTTAATGTTAAAGAGTTGATATTTTTTAGAAAATTTTAAACTGCTTGATTTCCTTACTTCTCTTTATTCATTGCTATTATCAATATAGCAACAAATTTTCTCCAGCCAGAGCTCTTCTTATCATCAAAGTCGTAGAATAGCTAGACCTATTTACAGAAATCATGAGTCCTACAATACTGTATGGAAGTAGTATTTGTTAGGAGTTGACGAAAAAGTTGCTCTATCAGTTAAGAAACAGCCTCACCTATAAACGACACAAAGGCTTGAAAGAATTTAGGGCCCTAAGTTCTCTGTCTAATGCAGGACAAAGGAGATTAGCTTAACTGACAATTCTCTGGTGAACAAAGTAACCAAGCGGTGGTTTTAATAGTTGAACAATAGAATTCCTCTCGCCCACATGACGTTACTCAAAATTGCTTTCAAGTGTGTATACATCCAAATAACTCTGGGAAAATTGAATTTTTCGCATAAATCAGCCCTTTTTTTGACATGCCGACAAGGTCTCTTAATTTTTAGGAAATACCTGCGTTTAATTTTTCAACACATTTGTTCTTTTCTTAACAGCGCCTGGAGAGATACAGCAACCAATCGTAAGGTTCACCAACAGCACCCAAGCCCTTGTTTCCTGGTTACCTCCGGCTCTCAAAGGAGGCAATCTTGATTTTTACGATATTGAAATCAGTGATGATGACAGAAGAAATTCAACTTTCATCATCCGCCAAGGTTTGTATTCGCTAGTTTTTTTATGAAATTATTACAAGTGTTTCATTTTCTCTGAGTTTTTTTGCGCATAGAATTGGATTGCAACAGGCCGAAAGGAACTTGCTTGATTAAAATATTTTCAAAATTGTGCAACTTCCTCTCTTCTTTAAAAAATACTAATAATATTTGTAGTTATAAAATTTACATGAACTCTTTCTTCAAAATTATTAATTTTTTTGTAGAAAAACAAAAGCTGTTTGCACTATACTGTAAATATTTTATTAGATGAAATTGAAGATGCCTGATTAAAACACTAAAGTTACATTGGTTCGCCTCTGTTAAATGCTATCCGCGTGTCTCTCCTTATTTGTGCCCCCACTGCAAGAATCGAGCTTGTGATGAGCGGAACCTTTTTTAAGGGAGTGCAAAAAGTACATTAGATGTCTTTTAATAGTTGCTTGACTTATATTTAACTTATTGTAAACCTTGTTCAGCGGATTTTGCACTTAGCATGTTAATGCAAGATCATTGGTGATTTTGGTCTGCACATCTGCTTTATTAAAAGAAATAATCAAATCGTGTTCCTGTTTTATGATTTTTTTTTCTTTTTTTGTTCTTATATATGGAAAAAACTATATACGATCCTCAGTTCTTTTTTGCCAATAGCTACTTGATTTAAGGTTTAAAATTTTGTTTACAGCTAACAGAACAGAAACCCTGGTGAGCTGTCCCAACGGCAAAACAAAAACGAAGGAAGTCAGAGTGCGAGCAGTCAACACTGATGGCAATATGACGTACATTGGACCATGGTCCTCACCTGGTACCGTTGCATGCATAGTATCAGGTAATTTTTGCTATCTTTATTCCTCTACTTTTTTAGCCAATGCCAACAAACCAATTTTCTGAATGACATTTTTATTTCGATTAGGCTCCAGCTGGAATTATGTACAATGAATGTGACGTTTAAGTGCTCTTGGAAAAAGAAAGAATGCAAAAACCCCATCTTAAATTTTCATCTCAAGAATCAAGATTCCTCTTGAAATTCATCTCTCCTGATGAACATGGCATTAAATAATTTTTCAGCTCTGCTAACCTTTATTTATATTTTTATGTTGCAGGAATGTCTCCATTCATGTTGGGTCTGATTTACATCTTCTTCTTCACAATTTTTGCTGGCTGCGCCGTCTGGGCTGGAAAAACGTAAGTTCAAATTCATGCAACCAAAAGTTGCTCATAAAATATGTAACGCTCAAGGGGGGGGGGGAGTAGGGTCAAGGAGAGCCGGTCTATGCCTCTTTGGTTTTATTTGTGAAAGGACTGACATCTATGCCACCAGAGTGTTACGAAGGGGTAGAAAAATCCACAATTTAACGTAATATATTTATAGATGGCCTTCAAAATTAATAATTTCACAAGAAAATTATTTATCATTGCACACAAGAAAAGTTAGTTTTCATTTATAACTTTCACTTCCATTGAATTTTATCGGACTGGTTTCGGGTTTGTGAAAAAATTCCTGTTGTCTTTAGCCCTCTCTGAATTTGCAAACTTAAGAGACAGTAAATTATTTTTTGTCATTAAATGTTACTGTACGAACCATTTCAACCTAAGTGTGAAGCATTTACAAAGAATACCTCAGATTTCAGCTTAAAGGATTCCTTCTCTTCGTGTGTGAGAAGATGAACGGAACAGGTACAGTTAAAAAGGAATGTCAATTATCAGCAACGGCCTTGAAAATTGTGTGTTTTCCTAATAAGTTTGATGAAGCCAAAGTGACCTTTACTCCTGAAGGGGAGAGTTGCCTTTAGACTTATCTCAGAACTCAATTTTTAGTCCTAATTTGTCTTATTTTTTTGTTCTATTTCAGGAGTTGGTACCGCTGTGCAAAAATGAAAGATTTCGATGTGAAACTGCCACCTAGTCTGAATGCCATCTGTGATGTAAGCACTTTTACCTTCTATATTGACATTAAGTCCAAGCTACCTCTGTTTTTATTCCTACTAGTGTAAAACCTACCCAGCTGAAAATAGATAAGTAGGACTGTGAAGTATAACTCTTGATACTTGTATCATTCAGAATCAAGCCTCTGTTTCAGATACCAACTTATTGAAGGTGTGACTGTCAAACCATTTATCTCTTTTGTCATGTTTAAAACTCTCCTCTCCTATTTTACTGTTTAAAAGAGAACACATCGTCATTCCTCGAAGTTTTCAGAATTTGCCTTGCACAGAGAAGAAAATTTACGGCGGTTTCAAGAACTGCGGTTGAGAAATTGTCCATTTGAAAAATTAAGTATGACAGGAAGTTTGCAATGTTGCAAATATGTGGTTTGGAGGTTTCGTAATCGATATTCCTATAATTGAATTTAGTGGCAAGGGATGTTAAGACGCCATTAATCCCACTGCTTTTTAGTGGAAAATTTATATGATGGCACATCACCTTTTCACTGAAATCAGATCGTACGTTTGATCATTCTGAATTTTTTTTCCTACTTAAAATCCAGGACAAGAACAAGGAGCAGCATGAGTGTTCCTTACCAATGCAGAACTGGTCGGGACATTCAAGAAAAGATGAGCACGCGGCGAAAGCAGAATCTTGTGCTGATGAAGAGGTAAATTTCAAAAGTAACAACAGAACATTCACACACCCCCACCCAAGTTTTCCATCAATCCAATCTGAAAGCTGTATAAAATTTTTTTTTTTAACTTTTGGTAGTGTCCAAAAATTCGCAATTTTTGTCCATTCAATGTCAGTCTGAGTTAAACTTGTACTCCTACGGCTAAAATGCCTCCTATAAATTATGAAGTTTATTAAGAGTTGTTTTGAACTTTGAATTTCATTTTTAGTAGCAAGAAACAATGACAGAAGATACACTGATACAAAATAAAAGGCAGATCATCTGCCTCATTTCATTCGCGCTTACTCGTCTGGGCCATCCTGTTACAACCGTGCATAGACTAGTTAACTTGCGTGGTTGATAGGAGATAGTTTTGGACGTATTTGTCCAAGTTCTTGCCCTTGACTTCCATTTTTTAGACAAGTCTTTAAACTTCAAGTGAACTTAATCTAAAATATCAGAATATGATCAGAAATTTTTTAGAATCAGTCTTCTGTTTCTGTTCAAGTTCTGTTTAAAAAATAAGAAAAATATAAAAGAAAATTAGGTAACATCTGATGTAGTTAGGCTGATTCGGATTATATCTGGCCATTTGTGAAATAAAAAATTATTTTCCAAGAGTTTTAAAAATCATTGCTTCTTTTCGTTTTTGCTTCCAGCTACTCCTCCAGAAGAAGGAAATTGGCTCTGAAAATGATGATGCTGCAGAGGATTCAGAAAGCAAGCACGAAACAGTCTTTCAAGGGGACAGTCCTACTATTTCTAACAGTGATAACAATCACAGCTCAACTAAATCTGTACCGAAATCGAACGAGGTTTGTCCTTAAGTATTTTTTACCTGGCAAAGTTTTATGAAATGATGTGTGTTAGTCGAAGAGTTTTCTAATTTTGAAGATCTGAAGTTTGTTCAGTGTGTTAATTGCTAAGCTTCCTGGTGCAGCCTTGTTTTCTTTAATTTACAGTTCTTATCAAATTTGTATGTAACAAAATCTCGGATGTTAAGAAGAATTCCTTGGCTCCCCTTGAGTCAGCATAAGGAGGCTTGACCGTAAAAGAGTTAAATTATTTCCCTTTTCATTGAGGATTGAGAATGATGTCAGAGGAGGGGCGTATGTAAAACGCACATAGTACGAAATAACGAATTTGAACTTTTAAAATGGTTTCCCAAACAAACTATTTGGATCAATTGATCAAGCTAAAGGCTATTTTTTCAATTTAGATCCTGAAATTTTGAAATCCCATAATGTTTATGGTGAGAAAAATAAGTAAATACATAATAAAAGGGTGTTGTTGGAGGTACACCCATCTTCCCGAATGGTCAGTAATTAATCATTTTATTTTTTTCTCTTGTCAATCAATCCTATTTGAAATGTATGTTATCATTGAAATGGTAATAGAGGTTAAACTAAAACTCTTTTGCAACCCTCCAATTGATTATAATAACATCATTACTGATGTAAAGATCCGTGTAAAATATCACCAACATTCACTCAGTGCAACTCATAATAACTATTTTTTCAATTAATTTTCTGCCATTTCTGTAATTATTATTTTCTTTTTCCAGAATTACTCGGATAAGAAAGATGTTGGTGAGGGCTCCACATCTAAAGGAAACTCATCAGATAGAGATCTGACATATTGCAAAGTTGGAGGTGGCTACGTTTCGATCGCCCCTATATCAGGACCTTCATCGGCATCTCAGCCTGCTCCAACGATTATCGAGAACCCATATGTTCCCAATCACTTTGAAAACCCTACTGTCAGTAGTTACGTCAAAGCCTTCAACATACCAAACCCCTCACAGCTGTACTGTCGAATCGGTTTAGGTCCTCCCGATATGCAAACGATGCCTGATGCTGGAACAAAATTACTCCTGAATCCTGAGCCGAGGTATGTCACTGTTGGAGAGAGCATCAAGTTAAACAGGGAAAAGAATTCCGTATCAACTTAGAAAGTCTCACTTACCGTGTGAGTTGAAATTGGTTTTATCATTGCCATGTTCAGTGCATCTCAGGCTTCACCAGCAAATTAATCGATCTTGATTTTTTATTTGATGCTCATCTGTTTTGCTCAAATTTAACTTAACCTTGTACAGTTCTCTAGCAAAAGCTCTTTTATTTATTTTATGTTTTTCCTGATAAAGTTCAAAGATTTTAGTTGTCCTTGAGATATGAACGACCCTACTCCAATAGTCTTTTTTCGTCTTTTTCTTACCTAATGATCCGATCAATGTTCATTCTTCTGCCAGAATGACTTCAAGTAGGATCCCTTCCAAGCAGAAATATTTGGTCATGATCGTTCAGTACTAGCTTCACTCTTTCAGACTTCTTGCAGATACCGAATATGTGTGATCAGTGGACCACCAGACAATGTGCGGATTTAAGCAACATGATGTATGTTTACACATAAAAAGGTCTCATAGATCAAGATTTGTGAAAGGAAAATTATTGGAAGTAACTTCTAACTGAAATATTAACATTTTAACATGCATACAATCAAACTCCCTGCTCATGCAACAAACCATAACCCACCGGAGTTAAATTGCACACTAAACAACATAAGGGGAGAGAGGAACACTGCTGTTGAAGTGCACAATTTGATTCAAGTAGACTCTTGCTTCTCTTGCGAGTAGGAAATTCAAATTTTTTGTAACCAATGATAAAAATGATAAAATCTTGGTATGGAGTTGATTACATAGAAGAAGATATTCCAGAATGCTTACATTTGTACCTTGTGTAATGGTCCACTCTGCACCAGTCATGTATGATGAATCCTTGACAGCCTGGTCGACGCGATTATTGTGTTCTCATTGGCTAAATTACTGGGCAATAGTAACATTGTTTTTTGGTTCAAGAATAAACCAATTGAAAAATGCATCTAGGAGTGTACTCCAAAGTCAGCAACAATTACTATTAAAAAATTTAAAGAACCACTCTAGGTTTTTGTGGTGTAAAGATAACCAATGTATACTTTAAACATGCAAATAAATGCGCTCATAAGTTTTAAAAAGCAAGTTACAAAGTAAAGTAGCTGTGTCGATCAGCTATCAACTTAGTTATTTGTACTAACTAAGTGACCAAATATTTCCATAGCATGTTGGTTACAATGGAACAGTTCCCTTTTTTTTCTTTTTGAAATGACCCAGTTTTGGAGACGAAAAAGTTCTATGAACGAGAATCGTGTAATCCTTGTTGGAGGGTTTTTATAGTTTCGATTTTTTTATTCTGTTTTATTTCATAATGATCATTTTTATTTTAGCTTTCTGCAATGAATCTCTTGTTCATATTTTAACTCTGATGTTTTTATTAGTTGTATACACAACACAGAAGTATACGTATGTACATTTTTGTATATTTTTCTGTTATTATTTTCAGTTTACATGTTGTTCAAATTTCACTGGGTGAGCACTTGGTGAGAAGAGCAGTTGTTATATTTCTGAATTAATGTGTATGCTTTTCACTGTCTATGAATGTGGGGAAAAAGAAATGAAGGTCATTCAAAGAGACGACCCTACAACAGTGAAAACATTTTTTGACATGTTTATCATTTTCAAATTTAAACTTTGTTTTTTCATGATCATTGCTCACAAATTCAGAACTCCTATACAAATTTTTGCATCGTGTGAAATACATACTATTTTTTATTGTGATTTTACAAGTATGTTTAAGTCATAGAAATGTTACTTATTTTTTTAATGATTTTGAAGCTAGCTTCTTTTTTAATCGATAAATTCCGGCTCCCAACTTTTATCTTTCATTTTTACATCAATCCACAGATTTGTTCAAACTACAAACACTAAAAATGATTCATTGAATACGATTGCATACTACTTTTTCAGATTGTATCTGGCAGCAGGGTAATCCTGTTTAGCCCTTAGTTTTCTGTGCTATTTTTTACTAAAATATTGTCTTTCGCCTAATTTGATCCATCTTTTCAGTTTGATTATTATGTATATATCCTTCTGATCAGTCGTTTGGATGTAAATCAAGTGAAGAGTTTCAAATTCTAAGTGTGAATTGTCATTACAGAAATTTTCAGAAGTTAATGATCAATTCATCAGTGAATCAATGTTGAATCTCAAGTAATAGTCTGAATCATATTTTTCTGAAATATTCTGTGATTAGCTTTCTTTGAGTTCCTCTGTAATGCAGACCCATGTCCAAACATTTGGCCTCAGTTGTATGATTTTACAGTCTCTTTAGTTTTAAAGATGTCCCTCTTACACGCCAATCAGCGTCTCATTTCAAGGTGAATCTGTAGTGAGAGTAAGCAAACATTCAGATATTGAACAAGTTTTTCTAAAATATTGGTTTTGCTTTAAAGTTGTGTCGAAAATAGAATCAATCACGTTTAGAGGTACATTTCAGCTCTTTCTTCCCCAAAAAATCCAATTTGCAAACCCTAAAATAATGCTAAATGTATGCAAACGAAAAAATCAACTGTTAGATTCGATTATTCGAATGTAGTATTTCACGTTTGTATACTCTCAGCTTTATTTTAAGCTTTACAACATAAACACTTTAGTAAAAAACAGCTGAAGAGTGCTTCTATGCGTAATTAACTTGGTTTTTTTGTTGCTGAAAGTTTGAAGTGTAGCAACATTTGTTCGAAATCTTCATGTTTGTTTACTTTTGGTGTAGACTCAACTTAGATTTCTAAATCAGTTACGTCATTTTCTGTCGATCAATTCATTACTCAATTATCAATATTTCTGATGAAGCAAATCAATTATGTAGTTATTAAAATAATTTATACAATTGCTCATTCATGAAGAATCTTACATATTTTGATTTAATCTCAGGTTCCTTAAGAGGAGATTAATGTTTCCTTGTCATTAAAAAAATGCATTTAAATTTTAAGATCTAAAACTTTTTGCTTGCTTAATGTCAAGCATTTTAACCTAGTCAATTTTGTGCTGAATTGAAATCAAATGTGTATCAATATTATAATTTTATAATTTTGTAAATGCTGTACATACTTGCCTCTGCTCTGTAAGTATAGTACAATAAGAAATTTTCAGATTAATCCTTGCTTTTAAGTTACGAATTTGTGTAATCAAGCTTCGAGCAAATTAATGAAAAACCATGATCAAACGTTAAAATATGTGGGAAAAAAATAGTCGGAAAAGTAGTCTTAAGGGCTGCTTCTCAAGATGTTGTGATAATGTGAAAAAAACTCCAAAACACAGGGAATATTTACTGATATAAAAAAATGTACTGCCATGAAATGAGAAGTAAGAAAGCTCAAATAGAATCTATATTCCATTAATCGATTTATTCCATCCGATAATCAATTTATACATTCAAATAATCAGTTTTTTTTCTCAAATTATCAATTTATTCCGTCTGATAATTAATTTAATCACTCAAATAATCAGTTTTTTCTCTAAAATAATCAATTTATTCATTCAAATAATCATTTTTTTTTCTTTTAAATAATCAAGTTATCATCAATTCTGATTATATTCAAGACAATGCATATGATCACAAGTCAATATTTTTTCCTAACTTCACATATTCAAATATGTATTTTTTCAAAGATTTTAGCAGATCGTCCCAGAAAAGAATGCACAAATTTTTTTAAAAAATCGGGAAATATTTAAAAAAGCGCTGATTTCTGCTTTCATCATGAGAGAGGGCTTTGGAATGTCCAAGTCTCTATACTTCTCTATCCAACGGTATATGGGTAACTACATATTATATTTACTTTCAGTATACAATCTGTTTCACCCTTCTATTTTTTCATGGTTTGTGTTTCTTTCTTGGCTTATAAATTTTAGTTTTGATTTTTGTGTTATTTTTATGTCTTCATTGTGTTCATGCGCCATTATCATTTTGTTTTTGTTTTTTATTCATTACTTTTCATGTAATTGTATGAAATCTTTCAGTGTATTTTATCATTTATTTTGGACATCAGATTCAAGCAGATGTATTTTTTTTCTTCTTTTTTTTCACTGAATTGGTAGTGGAAAGTTGCTGAAATCAGAGCACTGACCTCCAGTAATTCAAATCGTCAGCCACACATCAATCCTAATTTACCTAAAATGCAGGATGCTTTAGGATTTAAAGTTAATTTACCGTCAATTGGGGGTTTTCCCCCTTTTTTTTCTTAAGTCTTCAACTAAGACTAAATGTTTTTCTTGCTTGATGAAAAGTCTCAATTAATAATTGCAATGATTAAGATAATAAGAAAGTAAATCAAAATCTCAAAACATTATAAAAAAATAATTTAAATTTAACTTGCTACCAAAGCTACTATTTTCCCCAGTAAAATAATTTTATCATTAGTCTAATATCATTACAACTACCAAACATTAAAGGTTTTCTGGAAATTAATTTAATTACAAATACATGCATGCACCTCTAGTCTGCTTTTAGCGTCACAGTGGCCAGGCATCTCTTAGTATTTTGGTTGGGAAACTTTTTGACAGTCTAAGCATCTCGCTCAGAATCAAAGAATTCTAAAACAAAGGTCCACAGGAAAAAAAAAAGGTTTCATTTTCATCGAAATAGCTTTCTACCAACAAATTAACCACTAATCCTGAACTCCTTGAATTTTAAAAACGTAAAGTGAAGGTCATATTTATGGAATGTAGGTCAATTCAACCTCTTTCAATGAGATGAATATGCAGATCTCTACTCTTAGGCTACTAGTGAAGCAAATCCTGTTCTCTCTTCTCTGAAATAAAAACAAATTTGGCTCACCAAAATTTTTTTGGAATGCCGATTCTACTGTCTGCAGAAAAACTTATGGAATATCTGTGTGCTCCTAAAAGTTTATTGTTAAATAAGAATTTTTGTGCAGATGGATTTTCTGCTGTTGTCTACTATTTTAATTTGTTTTGTAAATATTAATTTGCGTCAATGGCGCTGCATTAGTTTTCCGTGTACATAGTTTTGGATATTAATTATTTATATGTTGTGAACCATTAACTGCTTAACTGTTCAAGACTGTTTTTAATGTTAGTGTGTATATGAACTGGTAGTCAATGAATGTCTGTCTGCTCTGATAGTTTTGTATCTAGAGTACAAATCTTATGTTTCATGAAGGTTGTGAAATGCACATGCTGTAATTTGAAGACAGGTTCAAGTCTTGTTGGAAATTGTCCTTTAACGAGGGGAAAACTTTTTAATTTGAATTGGAATGAAATTTTACTTGCAAGCATGCTCTTGTCCAAAATCTTTTCAGAGCTGCATCCTTGAAGTTTTACATCACTACTATGATTAGAAAAGTGAACCATGTAGTGGAGGGAATACAAGTTTGTCGCAAATTCAAAAAATAATTTTCAAGATCAAAGTTTTTTATTGAACAAATTTTAATCAGAGCTCTTAATTTCAGACTAACTTAACTCAATGCTGGCTTCTCAATTTTTTTTGCACTTAAAGTGGTATTCCCAACAAGAAAGGTTGTGTGGCCCTCATCTTGACGATGCCAATGAACTATGTGCGATGGTCCGGGATCTATTTTTAATACTTCTATTTAAAATACTTCTGTAAGGTTTTGCCTCAATTTTGGAGTCAACAAAATGGAATATTGATAGCTAAATGCAAAAAGTGTGCATCTCAATTGCAATGATTAAAAATTTCCAACTATGTTTCACTTCATGCAAGAAAAACTAATCAAAACTTTCCCTCGCAATTTTGTGTGACTTCCAGAATAAGCCAAAAATTCCCATAGAAATTGTGGGTTGGTTTACCTTAAAAAAAAACAAAAATAGCCAAGATTTAAAACATTGTTAAAGGAGATGTGCACTTAGTCATCAAATGCTCTCATTTTGTCAACGCACTGCAGGACAGTTGTATCAAATTTTTGCAGCCTATATGGACAGAACTTCTCAAACTCAGAATAATTTTTTGACACCTCTTTCTAGTACTTAAATATTTACTTTAACATTTCTCTGGGAGTTCCTCTGAGGAAGTACCACCTTTTTCATTTGACCAGTAGAGTTAATTTTTTTTTATTTATTCGTATAATGAGCAGGCCTCCAATCTGCAAGTATGTGTGAAATGTCAATCTCTCTGAAGCTCTTTATTTTTGTACTCAGCTTTTTTTCTTTCTTTTTTCTTTGTTATTTTTGGATGATCAACTTACAATCAACAGTTTTTCACTTTCCTCCACAGCGAAGGAAATACATCATTTTAATGAATCTCTGCTCAATTTTACAAATGGAGCTTATCAACCGAATCCAAAACCCTGTAATGTTAATATTAGTCCAATGACATTCTCATTTTGTCCATCCAGATTTCAGGTCAGCTCTTTCTGCAGGAGCGTTCTGTGAATTTTCTCCATTAGAATTTAACTATTTTCCTCTTGTCCCACTGATATATGCATCACGATTTTAATCGATTATGCTCATTAATCGAAGCCTAACTTTGTAATCTAAACTCGGAGGCAATAAGGTCAATAACTCAACTTTTTTGTCAAACCTGTCCTCAAAATTGATAGGTTCCTCTTTAACATTATTTCTGATGTCACTTTTCTTGAATTGAAACTGAAAGTGATTCTAACTTACAATTAATTAAATGTGAGAATAAGCTGTATGACCCCATTTTAATGGCACCAAATCAAAAACGCTATGATTTTTCTTCACCTTCTTCATTATTGCACTGTGGATGTGGAGTATTTCATGGGTTTACCATGAAATTATTGATAGTTAATCAGAACTAAATTAAAATAGGTAACTTTTCAAGTCTGTTCAATATTGACCAAGAAATAGACACTCACCTGTTAAGTGCTCAAAGTGACAGTAAGAAATAAATGATCCGCAGCGAATATTTCTTTAAAATTATCTGAGATCTTCCTTGAAGATCATACTATAGCACTTGTCAGAAAATTTGGCAGTTGCTTACTTTCGACTGTGAAGCGCAGTAGACTGTTTCAAGTTTCTGTGCACGGCAGCGGCGTTGCCTGCGGTCAGTCCTCGATGGCAATTGGACAATTGCAACACAGTCGTTTGTAAACGGAAAGTAAACAACTACCAACTTATCTGAAGCGATTTCTACCAGCTCATGAATTGATTTTCGACTCAGCAAAAAAATATTTTTTCAGAAAGTATATGCAACCTTAACAATATTTTAAAAGAAATTCCGTAACTTTTTTCTATTTGTATTTTGGCATCTACTCTTAAATAGATTTATTCCCATAGCTGTCTATGAGAGTCAATGAGGAAGGCTGGAGATGGAGAGCGTTAGCGATTTTTGCCCCATGGAATTTCCCCTTGAATTCAGTTGTTACCAAATTTTTTCCCCCTTGCCTTCTATCCATGAATTGCTCAATCAAGAAACGAAACGTACCTTTATCCAAAGGGGAAAAAATTGATAATTTATTTTCAATTTTTTTAGAAATATTTTCTTTTTTAATTTTTAGTAGACTAATATTGCACGCATTTTATTAATTTATCATCGTGTCTTCATTTATATTTCATACTTGAATTTGTTTCATATGTATTTATTTAGGAGGTATAAATCTGATGTTTAATTTTTTTTCCAACTTTTCGGGCAACGGCCACATTTTACCTCATTCTTAAATCACATCCTTGTTAGATAGATGGGTCTAATCTTTATAATGCATTTATGGGAACATTTTTTTCTCTTTAATTTTTCTGGAAGAAATAGAAATACAGCGAACTTGATATTTGGGTCGCACTAACTAGTGATGATAAAATGCATACTAGTTGCCTCTTGCGCATCACTGATGGGACCAAGGTGGAAGAGATGGTGGTGTACATCAACTCTATGGATTATAGCAACCACAGTAGTGTTCTAATCTGCCATGCTAAGAGAGAACGCCTCATGCGCCCTCAGAGATTGCCATATTGCATTTGATAAAATTCGAATTTTTAATGAATCTCGTAAATATCTTTCATCCAATTTTCTCGATAATTTTATTTACAATTTTATCCAAAGTATTTCAAAGTTTGAAAAAAAAATATTCATAACTTTCCCCAAAATCAAATATATTATCGGAAAAATTTAGGGAATGTTCGAACGTTCATACTTCATAAATTTATTGCTGACCCATTAAGTGCAACTTTTAAAAAATTGTCCTGCCACTCAGAACTGACCCATTTCCTTTTTATTTTGTCTGAAAAGCATATCTGACATAGCTGTAAGATTAGGAATGAAGTTGCCGTTGTCCTTAAGCAAGATCTGATGAAGCCAGTCTCCTCTGTATAAAATGTAGATAGCTAATGCCCAGTTGTTGTTTTTACCTGTTTTCTCTATGTTCTTCTTATTTTGTACATTCTTGTATATATTTTTACATGGTGCTTACCTAAAATTACAGTGTAATAAGAAGTTCTCTATTCTCTCAATTGTAATCATCGTCAAAACGGATTTCCACTATATTTTTATCACTGTCATTATTTTTTACTCTTTGATCAATTTTGTTCTCAATTAATGATGATGATTTTAAACTTCTTGACTGAAGAATTGAAAAAAAAAAATTGCATAAGATTTGGAAAATTCAAGGCTTTTTCGGTCTTGCTTTTAGAAACCTACTAGTTGTTGTTTTCATACTTTTATCAATAAATTGATCTATTATAATTTTGGTTGCTCATTCAAACTCATTCTATCTTACCTCCTATCTTCTCCTCTCTTCACCTCTCTACTAGTTAAGGTGAATTCAATAGATCTACGGACAAAAACTACCTCCTTGGTTTACTGCTGCACAGCTGGTGTCTTGAGAAGCAATAATTATAGTTATCTACGAATTTTGTAAGAATCGGAGTAAAAATGCAGGGCAGTATTAATACGGTAGAATCTATTAGAGTCGCTGTATATTGCTGTAGTCAATCCTTTCTACCTGAATGGTCATTTCTAGCCTTTCATTTGCCAAGTAATAGGAACCATTTTGAAGTTTTTAACACTGCATCCTATGGATTCTGGCAGTGTTGCAGGCTGCAAATGTATTTGGGATTTATTGATATAAATCAATAATTACTCTTGCAAATTTTGAAAGATCAAATTGATTAACATCATTAGAAACTTCAAAGTGTGCGGAGGCTCTGGTTTATTTGTACTAAATTTTTCACCAAAATGGCGCTCCAGCCCATAGCAACTCTGATGTAATCAATAATTAATACAGAGTAAAAATTTAACTCGTGATAATGTATTGAAAATCCCAAATAAAATTAGGAAAATGGGTGTCACAAATTGAAAGAATAGATGAATAGAGGAAGATGACGCTTTTACATCTTAGTCAATATTATTGCTTGCACCTTCAAATTCAGTCAATGGTGATATTTATTCCTATATCACTTAGAATCACTTACCTATGGCTTTTAGAAGTATCAAATCTGTAATAAAACCAAATTATCATTTTAAAATTGTAATCCTTTCCTCACCCTAAAGACCATGAAAGCAATATTTTCAGATGAGGTCAGGATAAAATGTAATTTTAATCTGGTAATTCGTTTACTAAGGGAATCCTGTGGGGTTGTAGAAATCTATCGTAACGGATCCATTCAGAATTAATAATCATGAGGAAAGCCTTATTGGTTGCAATTGAAGTTCTTGGACCTAGGGAAATTAAGCTGTTGCACAAGAAAAGGAATCCTACGGAGGGACAAACAATGCAACCATACCTCGATTTAGAGCTCTTACTGTTTCATTAGAGGTTACTCGCCGGCATCTGAGTTTTAGAACAAGGTGTACTGGAAGCTACTTAACTGAATGATTTCTTTGAGCACCCATAGTGTATTAAAATAATATAAAATTAGCCATGAGGAGGTGCTCTATAAAATGCATAAATAAGTCTTCTTTTGTAAATTCCTATTTTTCTTTTTTTAAGTTATAAAAAGTTTATACGTGAGTAACATGGAAAAAAATAAATTGCTGATTTAACAATTGAATCGGCTCGTGCGAAAACCGCTAATGTCCATTTTCTCTTATTTTGAGTAAACTGCAAAAAACTGTAGAAGCCTTTTAAATGCGGGATTAAAAAATGTTCAGAAGTTGATTATTACAAGAGTGGATTGTAGAAAAGGATCCCTAACAGTTTCCAGCTCCTCTTCTGTCTGGAATGGAGTATTTAAAAAGAAAGGACTCTGGACATTAGCGGTTTTCGCATGATACGTAAAAATCGCCAAGTTTTGGAGCCATTTGATATTTTCAAAATTCATTCTAAAGATGTCAAAGCGGTAGATTATCATTCACATAAAGTTGAAAAAATAAAATTCCGGACAATTGCGGTACTTAAAATAAGTCTCGCCACTACAGTCCCAGCAATAAACTGGACATTAGCGGTTTTCGCATGATTTGTGCGTGGACGGTTCTGAAACATCGAAAACGCATATTTTTCAGTATGCCTTTCGGGCAAAATACGGTCATCCTTACGTATCTTGAGGCGCTGAATCCGAATAAGACCTCCGTTTTTTTCCATCGCCCTCCAATTTAACAGTCGGGATAACAGTCGGAAGAACACCGAAAATGCCCAAAAATGATCATTTTTCCGAGTAAAATCGGCTTTTCCGGAAAATTGGAGGGTAATGGAAAATACGGAGGTCATATTCGGATTCAGCGCCTTTAAATACATAAAGATCACCTAATGTCGTCCAGGAGACATTTTTTTATTTTGGTTCGTTGTACAGTATCATGAGGCATATAACGAAAGATGGACATTAGCGGTTTTCGCATGATTCGAACCACGGCTCCCCCTGAAAAGGGCTTCAAACCTAAGGAACCAACATTTTCACTACATTAATGAGTGTGTCTGACCTCCGAGAGTATTTTAACCCAAAAATCTCAAAATTGAAAAAAATGGACATTAGCGGTTTTCGCACGAGCCGATTCAATTGAATTGTTAAAAAATATGTCCGACATGTTTCAAATGTACATTTTANAAATTTAACTACATACGAAGTGAAAACGATTTGTATTTCGCAAATCAAAGTGATTGTTAAAGCAACCAAACTGTGTCAGAAATGTTCCCAAATTACTGGGTAAGGCTTTTATCAGCTCATCATCTGATCCAATAATTTTAATTGTGGCATTTCATTCGGCATGTCGCCGCACGACTTCTATGATACTCAAAGTCTCACATATATAATTTGAAAGGGGGGGTCTGGGGGGGCGGCGCCCCCTCAGCAGGTAGCTTTTGCTACTTGTTTTAATGTAAAATCTACATTGAAACATATCGGACACTTATTTTAACTGCAAAATTGTTAGATCAGCAATTTAATTTTTGCCGTGAAAGGGAAATGAAAATATTCAGTAATTTTTCAAATGAGGCAAGTACTTAAGTACAAACTTTTTATTATTATCTTATCAGGAAAAATATATTCAATGATCCTATTGATAAAGGAATCATTCATACTGTTAGTGACTAATCAGCAAAACTCATTCAAAGAAAAATAATCCTCAATGAGGTTTTGGGTAAGAGCTTCAACTACAGACAGAACTAGCAATTTTATTTCCGAAGTAAAGCAAAAAAAGGCTGGGTTCTTTGCTAATAAGTATTCTGAGGATTTTTCTTTCTTTTTTCAAAAATGAAGCCGCAGTGTTTCAACAAAACAAATTGCTGATCCTGGCGGTTCAAAATTAAAATTCTCTTTGATTCCTCAAGGTACGCCGCAGTACGTGAGTTTTGAATGCGGCGGTCAAACTTTAGCTACATCGTCAAGCAGGTTGCAGCACTTCCAGGCGCATTGTGTACCCTGTTTTAGCCACTCTACTCTCCTTTGACAAGTCTGTGATATGGAGATTGTGTTGCCGTGCGTTTATCAATCATCTTCTATCAGCTGTTCCGCGAAATCTGGATGCCCGTGTGCGTGTGTCGCCGTCGCTCTTCGTAAATAGTGGAAGAATTTCTGCGAATTATACGTGTTTGCAATTATTCCATGAGGCCCGTGTGTTTTTTATCGTATTTTTTGCATGGCGCCGTGTAACAGAGTGTTGATTTTCCCTTAGAGTGCTCAGTGTTTTCTTCCAATGCTCAGGAACGAGACTTGAAGTGCCCTCGGTTTGAGCAGTCTGTTTCCAGTTCTGGATTGAGTGTTTATTCCATAATTGTAAGTTTTCCATTGCATTTGTCGTCTGTTCTTCATCTCGCACCTCCACCGGGTGAAATGAATACACAGGTATCAAACTTGTCACCTTTTCAGCGAATGCTCCAGATGACAAGCCTCAGCTTGTTATCATGTCCCATAGAATTTTGATTAGCGATAATTTGTTAACACAGCCCACATATCTTAACTGCCATTGGAACGCTATACAATATTCACAGACATTTTTTCAACGCTATCCAGTCTTTTTGCACTTTTTTTAAGGTTTGGTTAGGAGATGCATCTGTGAGCGAAGTCACAGGTATAGGCAGAACGTTAGCATCTGATTCTGCACTTCCAACAATCTAAGTTATTGTTGCTTGAACCCTGATCTATATTACCCAACCTAACCTGACACGTCAGGTGAAAAGAAGCAGGAATGAGTGTGGAATTCTCTCTTGTTTTAGATCTGAATTTTTGTTTTTTTGATATCTGGATGAAATACGGTTTATCCAAAATTTTCAATTAAATTTGGCAGTATTTTTTTTTGCTAAAAGTAAATATTTTCACTTGAGATCAACTTATAACGTAACTGTGCTTATGTATTCACTTCCTCACCATACTTCTAATAACTCGAGCAGTTTTTTGCTAAAATTTGAGTCTATGTACAACTTACGGCCACAAGCTACGGGTTTTAAACGAAAACCTGAAGGTGTCATCAGCTAAGTTGGCACTCGTTTATATTCCGCTTGTAAGCGATCTAGATGCAATCATCTGATAGCAATCGAGGATTGACCGTTGCCTGATCGAGTGTAGTATAGTCGAGCCTTGATCCTTCCTAAACAACTTTATCACAGTCGCTTGCAAAGGGAATGGAAACAAGTGCCAACTTAGCTGACAACACCTCAATCAACCTTTACAAAATACAGCTTTCTTGAGCTTTGGTGGATTAATTCAACTGAAGAATGAATCAGTTGCCTCAGAACTGTTTTGATTGCACTTCGCTCCTGTGCTATAACTAGGGGTGCAGGAAGTTCTTTGCCCTTTCATTCTTAGATGCAGCCTTTGCATTTTTGAGGTTGCCTTCACATGGCCTTTCAAATAAATCTTGCACACTCCACTGTTTCTTTCGCATACCTAAAAGAGCGCACTTCACTATTTCCTTCCCATAAGTGTGCGCGTCTAACTATTATCTCAGCATTAAAGAGCGCGCTCAATTATTTTCTTTGCATGAGAGAGCGTCTTATACACAGTTTCCTCTGCATAAAGGAAGGTAATGCCTTGCTGGTTTATGCCTTCGGCCTTCACATTTTTTTCACCTTTTCCAGGAGCCTTCATATTTTTGTTACCCCTTTCATGTGCCTTCACACTTGCTCCGCGATCAGTCTGCAATCCGCCAACCGAGCACTCTCTACACACCTGCATTGCAAATGAGCAACATATTTTCCCTTTCGAAATGGTAAAAATGGGGCAGAGAGTAAAAAAAAATGGGGCGTAGTCCTAGTTTTGCAGCGACTTTAGAGTCGCGCGAGGGAGGAACGGGCACACGGTCGGGTCATCTTCTCAGTGTGACGTGCCTTCAATCCGGCTAGCAGCAATATGCTTACACCCGTGGTCGAATAGTTATCTCGTTACGCCTGCCGTGAATGAATTCAAATATCGACCGCTGCGCGCTAAAAAAGTGTATTTATGTCTGATTGCAACGTTGCACACATTTGCTCATGTTTTATTTTTAATCGATGATTTTTGAAAAGCTACACGCAGTCTCTCTGAAGAGTTTCCGGGAATTTTCCGAAATGATCCAAAATAAAATCACAGATAATTTCGACGCAATATTTTCGCTCGTTCTTTTTTCTTCCTCTCTTTTCTCAAACCAAAAAGAATTAATCATTTCCCAAGTTTCTGAATCGTTGCAATATTAAGCTGCGTATTTTCCCTGCAATTATGGTAAAAACGGGGCAGAGAGTCAAGAATAAAGACGGAAAGTCCCAACTTTGCGCCGACTTCAGTGTCGCGCGAGGCAGGATTCAGGAAAACCCTTTCGGTCGGGTCATTTTCGCAGGGTGCCGCGCCTTCAATTTGGCTAGCAGCAATATGCCTACACCCGTGGTCGAATAGTTATCTCGTTACGCCTGCCGTGAATGAATTCAAATATCGACCGCTGCGCGCGTAAATCAGCGTACTCATCTCTGATTGCAGCGTCGCACGCCCTTTTTCATGTTTCATTTTTAATCAATGATTATGAAAAGCTACACGCAGTTTCTCTGAAGAGTTTCCGGGAATTTTCCGAGATGATCCAAAATAAAATCACAGATAATTTCTACGCAATATTTTCGTTCGTTCTTTTTTCTTCCTCTCTTTTCTCCAACGAAAAAGAATTAATCATTTCCCAAGTTTCTGAATCGTTGCAATATTAAGCTGCGTATTTTCCCTGCAATTATGGTAAAAACGGGGCAGAGAGTCAAGAATAGAGACGGAAAGTCCTAACTTTGCGCCGACTTCAGCGTCGCGCGAGGCAGGAAAACCCTTTCGGTCGGGTCATCTTCGCAGGGTGCCGCGCCTTCAATTCGGCCAGCAGCAATGAGCCTACACCCGTGGTCGAATAGTTATCTCGTTACGCCTGCCGTGAATGAATTCCAATATCGATCGCTGCGCGCGAAAAAAAGCGCACTCATCTCCGATTGCAACGTTGCACACCCTTTTTCATGTTTCGTTTTTAATCAATGGTTTTTAAGAAGCTACACGCAGTTTTTCTGAAGAGTTTCCGGGAATTTTCCGGAATGATCCAAAATAAAATCACAGAAAATTTCGACGCGATTTTTCGTCCATTTTATTTTCTTTTGCTTTCTCCACCGAAAAAAACTAAATACCATCCGAATTTCTGATTTGTTGAAATTGGGTCGCAGAAAACCCTACGCCTTCACATTTTTGGAGGCAGCCTTCGCATTTTTTATGGATGCCTTTTCATTTCTGGCTGCCAATGACTCGCGCAATTCACTTTTTCTTCCGCGTAAATTAGCGCGCTCCACTATTTCCTTTACATAAACATGCGCACTTAACTGTTTTCTTCGCTAAAAAATTTGCGCCTAGATGGTTTATGCATTCTGCTTTCAAAATGTTCTTTACACTTGGACCGCGATAGACCGATCGAGCACTTTTTGCACCCCTGGCTATAACTCCGACCGTCGAGACTTACAGGTTCTAATGTTTCTACCTGGCGTAACTTTTATCTAAGGAGGAAATCTGATGAAAATTGTGCTTCAACCCTTCTTGGTGTGAGTTCTAACCTTGCTCTGAACTCTTTTGTTTCAGATGTGATCTAAAATTTCTGCTATGCGGCGGAATCATTTTTTCATTCTCGTCGCCTTTTTGTTAGCGCTATGGATTTTCATCACTCATTACATCTTTATGAACCAACCCAGATCACTGTTCACCTATACGGTAAGATATTTGATAACAACTTTTCTATTTTTCCCCAAATTTCCGTATTTTTGACCAGGTCTGAATGCAGCTACTCGTGTTCTCGCGATGTCCGTGTCGCACACACAAAAAATTGCAGGCGCTCGGTTTCTTTAGGCGCAACGTATGGCTGCGGCTGATCGATCTCAAGGGTTTTCTACGTGGTATGTTCGCAATTGATTTTACCATGTAAACCTCGGAATCGAAATGAGCCGTTTTGCAACACGACAGCATTGCTAGACGGTGCAAATTTTCCTCCAAAAACATTTCCTCAATAGCACTACGGATGTCAATCCCGCAAGTTACCACCGACAACATTTCCGCAATTTGCACCATTTCGGTACGCTGCCGAGTGTAGGTGCTACACGACTCGTCTGAATTTCGATTCCTACCAATACAACCGCTCTATTTTCCCTTCGTGTCCTTCGTCTATTGCTTTGTCTATAGCCCTGGATGGACGATCAAATTCCGAACCAATTCCGATCAAAGTAGACATGCTGATGACCGATGGTCACCATCTACCATCAAATTTTGACGGGCCGCACTATTTTGTTCAAACTAAGATCAGAATGGAGTGCCACCATTCATCATTTCCTGCCTCAGGAAACATTTCTGCCAAGTTTTCATTTTAAAATGAAGCAAATTAATGAGTTTAAGACTGATGACTCCCGACACTTTGATGGTAATTGGTTCAGGAATTTGATCGTCTATCCAGGGCTTATCAATTTCAATAAACAACTGACTGATGTAGTTAGACTGATGTCCGGTTTCCACGTCCATTTGGTAAAAGCTGTCCGATTTTTTAAAGCGTCGTGTCGGTCCAATAACTGTTGTTCGATTGTCCGCTGAATGTGCATCACGAATCTTAAAATAATTTGTTTAGGCTCTCTGACCTCTTTTGAATTTGTATTACTTTATATATCATACCCAAGAGAGTGACTTAGTGGCCACTTCATGCGATGTATTATCTCTGTTCGAGTGACGGACAGAGAGCCAATCTCGTCGTAGTACGGTATTTACGCTGTGGTTTGTCGCAGGTCACATGCGTCCGAGTGTTCCGCGCAATTGAAATTTCTCCGCTTTGATAGGTCATAAATTCATTTATGATTAATCAGTGACAAATTCGTTATGAGTTCGTGATTGGTTACCTTTACTACTCTGCCAAGGAATAACGTCATATATGAACCTTTCAAAGTTGCCAAATACCCTTTCATGAAATATGAATTTTACGGGAAATTTGTAAATCGATGGCCAAAATTCGAAACGACGTATCTTCATAAATTTTTAAATCCATCTTAATTAAATATTGAATTAATATGCTTTAAACAGTCGAGCAAATTTTTCTGTTGAATAAAAGAAATTCCAATTAACAATTCCCGGACGAGACATTTCGTTGAGTCAACAGGAAATCTCCTTGTTTCAAAATTGTTGTTTTCTTTTATCCTAAAGAGACGTCTTGGGACCGAATTTTTTCGGTCTTTCCACACAGAGGTGCAACATCCATCGATGAGTCCAAATCGCACCACCGGCCAATCAGAAGCGCCAAGCCGGACCTGAGAACAGTCGAGACTCGTCCTATTAAGCACGGTGAGAGGACCAATAAAATTCAGCCCCTGGCTCTTTAAAGAGATTTTCAGTGATTCCACGAGAATTCTCGTCCAAGAATTATATTACTTCCTGGAAAATTTTTCTCATTGATATCTATCTAAGCTTAAACCATCCAAACTCCACAAACTTCAACACTCAACCACAAACTTAAACTTCAAAAAACGCCCTGAACCCGAAACGCGTCTGCAGTTGCCTTCCTGAATGGTCGTAACTAGTGTTGCGCACCGAACAGCGTGTCTCTTTGAGGAAAAATTGTGCTAAAAAAAGTTTTTCCCTCTGTGTTGAGATTTCCAGTTTTCTGGATTATTAACGCAAGTTGGCTAAAAAATTTCAATTTATCATCTGAACTCCATTCTGGAACTAGCGCGACGAACCCTAAGTACACTGGTAAAAAAAACACATTGGATCTAGAGTCCAGACTCTTGAAAACATTGACAAGAAAAAGGACTCTTGATTCAGTCAGATTTAAGCTCAAATCAAAAGGAAATTCGCTCAAATTAAGAGGCTAAGCTTAAATCTGATTGAATCAAGAGTATTTTTTCTTGTCGATGTTTTCAAGAGTCTGGACTCTAGATCCAATGTGTTTTTTTACCAGTGTAATTATTATTATTTGTTTAACTTTGTCGCAAATTTTTTCTCGATCCCCTTGTTTCCTCTCCCCCACTCCCCTCGCCCCTCTCTCTCTTTTCAAATAACCTTTTCTCGATGTTTATGGAGGCAGAAGTCGATATTTGACACCCAACGTCACCTCGGTTTATTTGATTAGAGCTGTGACTGCTGTGAGCACTTGCCCTCGGGATGGGAATTAGAATGGAAATCAAAACGTGGCGGCCGATATCAAATGTGCTTAAAATCGACGTAAGTGAACGAATAATGAGCAACCTCGTCAAAGTTGATGACATCCAGGCGTTAGCCTCGCCGCAGCTGCCGAATTTCCGTTTCAATTCACTCGCCTCACCACTCTGCAGCTCCCATCGATGAAGCGAAATCGCACCCTGTAAAACCACCACTCGACGCTAACCGGACCCTTCACATGTCAAATCGAGCCACGGAATCCATTTCGATGGCCAACGTGCAAAGCAACGTATCTCTGTCGAAGGCAAAGAGTCAAATGGTATTTTGTCAAATGCTAAGGCAAATAGTCAAATCAGGTATTTTGCGCAATGCCAAGGCAAATAGTCAAATCAGGTATTTTGTCAAATGCCAAGGCAAATAGTCAAATCAGGTATTTTGTCAAATGCCAAGGCAAATAGTCAAATCAGGTATTTTGTCAAATGCCAAGGCAAATAGTCAAATATTCTAACTTGGATTGAAATTTTGATTCTTTACTCTAATTTTTGACAAAATAATTCGTTGATCCGGTAAGAAAGAATTCTATGTAAAAATATGCAGCATACAATAGTATTTTAATTGATTTTAAGATCCTGAATGCACTTTTCTCTTGAAATTTTCAGCACGTTATAAAACATAGAATTTTTAAAATTTTAACTTTTAAATGTACTGAAGGTATGTATAAAGGAAGGGACATGGAGAGTTCGCGGATTTGAAGAGTTATTCTTCCCAAAATATTGAAAACCCGTGAACTCCTCGCCATAAATTTACAGAATTCCGTAAACTGTCAAAATTTGACTACTGGCCTAGGCACTTGACTAATTGCCTTCGACAACTTTTTTGCGACGCTTCAAAATTTCCGATCCTATTTTATTTTCTCTGAGGTGAATAGTCTCCGATGAAAGTTCCTTGAAGCCTGAAATGTATGAAGAATATTTTGCTACCTAACAGAGAAGAAAGATCAAAGCAGTTTTCAAGAAATCACGTTGATCACATTTCCGAAGAAAAAATAAAGTATGACAGGAAGTCTGCAACGTCGCTAACAAAGATACGTGGTTTCACATTTTAGCCATCGATTTTCACTCATTGATGGCCACTACGATACTGACTCCCTGCATGGCCTTCCTTTATAGAGGCTACAAGCAGGAGCAAATTGGACCACATTAGGAAGGAACTAAAATTTCCGGCTTACAATCAGTTTACAAACTACGTATCTATCATTAGTCGATCTCCGCATGCCTATTAGTGTTTTTGTGAATGAGCCATGAAATTGCAGTTCCTAATCGCAAAATGTTGTCCCATTGGCTCTCTTGCCCGATGGGTCTCTTCAAAGAAGAATTTTGGCCCCTCCCTAAGAGAAAATAGGTCTGAGGTACCTACCGCAACTATAAATTTTCACTGATTTCAGGCAGTAAAATATGGCAACACTAGCTTTTTTGTGGGGGAGGGGGAGGGCTTCAAATCATACGAAGCTTTCAGAAGAAGATTTTCACTACCTTCATACAAATCTTACCAAAAAAGTTTAATTTTGATGTAAGATGAGTCGCACCTTTTAAGTCATTTTGAATAGTGGACTGGAACAATTCGACTGGATAATTGGAAACAAATTTTAACCATGTATGAGCACAAGGTTTAATGTCACATCTCCAATAAACATACTTGAAGGAATTTTTGCTCCTTTGACGGGGTTGGTATGAAACGACGCGTCAAAAGCCGGAAAACCCCGCAAAAATTGTCTTCGAACTCCATGTTTAGGCCAGTATTAAACCCAAAAATGACCAAACCACAATGAATAGACCTGTAAAGTGCAAAACATTGTGTTGTTGAGAAAAATCAGGGAGAATCCAAAAACGGCCCTTATCGATACCGGCAAAATTTTCAGTATAGAGTGATTTATGTCGAGTTAGGTCGAAAAATCGGATTTTGCGATTTCGACGGGAAACGCTCCTCGTGACCGAAGAAATGAGTTGCGAGATGTAGATTTGATTTTTGTGCTAACGAACGGGGTAAATTTGCATTGAAATCAACAGTTTTGTGCCCTGAACATGGCAAATTAGAATTTCAAATAGCTTAATAGCCTTCTTGAATTTGCAAATTTCAAGCCACCATAACTCCGATTGAAAAATCCTGATTTTTACCTTCCTGAAGGTTCAAAATAGTTCCTAACTTTACAATCGGCGTAATGAATTGTGCATTTTCAAGTTCCCCGGCGCTTCCAAAAGTATAACACGACAATGATATTATTTGCGATACAGGCGAGCGACTTCTGTTGTAGATCTTCACGCAAACTAAAAAAACGCAGAGAAAGTAATTTTAAAAAAAAGAATCCTAAAAAACAGAAGAACTTATACCTATCAAACTTAACTTGTAAAGCAGGAAAGTGGAGATGTTGAATAAATAGCTTTTCTGTTGTTGTTTGTTCAGTTGGAACACTGCAACATGCGTCGGGCATTTGCAGTTTCGCGTGGAGTTGGGAAACTGGGGGCTGATTAGCAAATTTGACAGACAAAGCAATAGACAGAGAAGACGAAGAAAAAATGGAG